CTTGCCTTGAGTCCCAGGGGCCGCGCTTCGCCAGCCGCTCCCCAGGCGGAGCCACCCTCCACTCTTTGGGGCCCTTCGAGGCGACTTGGCAGGCGGGAGGCGTGCTCGGCTCCAGAGCAAGACCTCACCGGCGCTGCCACCTCCCTGCTCCACCCCCTGCTGCCATCCTCAAAGCCCCCTTTCCCAGCGGACTAGGAGACGGTCTCACCGAGTATTTATGGGGTGGAGAAGCCCCGGTGCCATTGGGCGGGCCGACGAAAGCGTCGGGTTTCAGTCACCGCAGACTCTGGGCGGCGAGCCCCTTTCCTCGGCTTGGCTCGGCTGCGCCTGGACGTTGGTTGGGTGAAGGCAGCGCCCCCGGGAATCTTAGCGGAGAAGTCGCGCCAGGGCAGACAGGGAGCCCTGGATGGACGGGGCGCTCCCGGGAAGAAAGCCACCGCCGCCAATGCCTTTTCCTGAAGAGAGGCGGGGTCGTGGGTGATCTCGAAGGGCAAGGAGCCCTTGATGGGAACCCGCTGGAGATGCAGATCAGCCTATTTGGCTGGGAAATCCAAAGCGAGCTGAGGGGGCTGCGGTGGCAAAGCCACCCCTGTCCTGGCGGTCTGGGAGCTCACCTGTTCCCGAGGAAGCCTGGCCAGACAGAAGCCCAACACCAGAAGGCTTGAGATGAAGAGCCGGAGCGGCCAGGTAGACCTGGCCCAGTGAAGCCCCAGCAGTGGGCCTGAATCTCCTCACTTTGTTCTTCCAAGCATTTAGCACTACCGGCCCCAATGGGATGCACACCCACGTGTGTGCAAGTGAATGTGCTTATTGCAAGTGGTAAGTTGCACACTATGGCATGGAAACAGAGGGCTCTTTTCACAATCTCTCTGCAGAGTGCTGAACATCATAAGAGAAGCCATGGTTGATGAGACCTGAATCCTACTTCAAACAGGAAACAGGGTCCAGGGTGTCCCCAAGATATTAAGTGTGTGGTGTGGTGAAAGGGTCAGATTAGAAGTGGTTCAACCCAGGTTCAAGACCACCTCAGTCATGGGGGCTCCCTGGGTGACTCTGGACCCGTCTCAACCAGCCCAGAGGGTTGTTCTGGGAAAAATGGGAGCAGAGAGCACTATGTCCACTGTCATGAACATCTAACAAATAAGGTAATTCCTCTCCCTGATTACCTTCAGTGGTATATTACCTTGGGTGGGTTTGTCACTGAAGCGATGGCAAGGTATTTACTGGAATACTGGTTCGATGGCAGAGGGCTGTGATCTTCCTTAGTGAAGATTCTCATCCCCAGTTTGGCTGTAATAAAGACAGGATACCTGTTTATATTTTCCCTTTAAACTAGTAAAAAGAATAAGAAAGTAATATGCAAAAGCAAGGAAACTGGAAGCAAATCAATAGCAAACCATAAAGGGGACCAGAATTCAATGGTGGAGTACAATCTTTACAGAAATCCAATTTAAAAACTCAGGTGCCAGGAAAAGTTGCTATCAGAATGAAAATGAGCAAGGCTACAGCACACAAAGGGCTGGAAGCAGGCAGGTGGGTGGGAAACCAAGGCTTATCTTCAGCACTACTGCCACTGAATGCCAGATAGCAGCCTCCTGTGACATGGATAACTTAAGTACTTCCCAAACTCAAGAAGGTCAGGAACACAAAGGACAGCTTCATATGACAGTCTAAATGGTCTTAAGCAACAGAAATTTTAAATGTGTTCCAGGGGGACCTCCAAGCCAGAAGTGAATCTGGTTCTTCCTGATGATCATCTCAGTTGGGCTTCTTCCCTTCCCTTACTGGAATGCTTTTGAATTTTGACATTGTTCTGGGTATACAATGCAGTAAAATCACCCACTGTTCATGCACAGAAGGCTGTTGGGTCCCACAAGGATGTGGCAAGAGTGTATCAGCTGCCTTCCTTCAGTATCTCTCCTGATGATGGGTGATTCCTCACCAAGGAAGGCAAGGAAGAGAGACAGCTGAGGTTCAAGGAAGCTGAGTCAGAGAGGGTTGGAGAGATGCCCTAGTAGGAGGGCCAAATCACCCTTTTGCCCCCCCCCCCCATCTTCTTAATCAGCCAATGGGTGGGTGTAATAAACTAGAGAAACCGCAACCAGGGCTTCCTGGTAATTCAAACATTGACTTAGAGCTTCCAGTGGGGCTACCCTCTAATTAAAATACTAACTTGAAACTACAGGTGGGGTCACCCTGTCATTCAAGCAATGAATGTTTATCTATGTTCAGTTTACATCAGAAGGAGTGATGAAAGGGAGATAAAACACAAACATCTTCCAGTAAAATCTAACAATGGTTGCAGGGAGGGAGAAGGAAAGAGCATGTGCCATGCCACACAGTACATTAATTTCTTGATAGACTGTGTGGTCTGAATCCTAAACGGAATAGGAGAAGAGGATTGTCATTGCCAGACTGCAAAAAGATAATATGAGGATGGCAAAGGCCCTCTGCCTGAGGAAAGATATGGATAACTATCTGAAGTGTCACAGTGGTTTTCAGAGGTAGTGACAACTAGGGAGCAAGCATTGTTTTCAGATCAAAAGGAGTGGTCAGATCAAACCTCAGAGGGACCAACTTGGAGAAGACCCTTCTGACAGCAAGTAGCAGCAACAGCACCACCACCTCTAATCCTTTGCTAAGCAGTCAAATTGAGGGGAGAGTTTATTCCCCCGCCCCGCAACAGACGCTGTCCCCCTGTTCCCAGATCAGCTCTTCCAGTGATTAAAAGGCCTTCTGTAGATTAGCTGTTCATGTTTCATCAGATCACCCTGATTTAAGAACCTTTACAGATATATGGTATTTGTAAATCTGGAGTTCTTTACCTGGGAAGCACAATAAATGAAGTCATTGCGAGTTTTACTTCTGAGAATATCAGAAGCTCTTTAAAAATGGAAGAGTACTATATAAGTCATTTACTGCATGCATTATCAGCACCTCCTTGAATGCAGGACATCTTCCTACATGCCTAAAGGAAGCAGTTATGTAATCTTTATTTTAAAAAAACAAACTTCCCAACCAGGAAGACTTTTTAAATTATGGGCCAGCTCTGGACCTTCCATTATTGGGCAAGGTGGCTGCGAAAACAATAGCCAGGCAGGTGTAGACGAAACTGATTATCAGCCCATTTCAACTGAGACTGCTTTAGTCACCTTGATGAATGATGTTTGCCAGAAATTGGACTGGAGGGCTACGCCCTGTTAGTCCTCGACCTCTCACCAGCCATGGTCTTTCTTCTCTATTTATTTACAGTTCTAGCCAATAAAACACAGAATTTAAAATATAGGAAAGTCAAACCTGAAACTGTAAATAATCAGAAGGTATCAAGCAACTCCTGCATGCCATAGTGCTATTGCCAGGAATGTGGCAACCTTTATAGCATTAGGTCTTGCAGAAGGAAAATTGTAACCTCTTGTTCAGAGGCCATGGGCTGTCCAGTGGGCAGCCCAACAGCATATGGGTTGCTGCCTCAACCCAACCCCTGTATCCGAGCAGAAGCACATGCAGTTATTGTAGGGGAGACCCGTATATTTGTGTATAGCCTCCATAAAGGGTAGTGCGCCAGTTTGAGCTGCAGGATTTCCAACTAGTGGAAGTGGTAAGGATTGTGTTTTCACAGTTACGAGCCGCGCACTATAGTGATCTTTCTGAGCCAATCAGACTTGCTTGGGGATACACTTGAAAAGTGACCATCAGTGGCAAAGGCAGCATGATTCCTGCATGGAGAGACCTGCCCTGGCTATTAACTGCCTAGCAAGCACAAATGGAAATGTTGGTCCTGACGATTAAAGCTCAGTGCAGCTTAAAGTCCAGCTGCCTCTCCCATTTGGAACCTGCTGGGCTACTGGGATCAGCGGAAGTCCTGCTCGTGGAGGCTCAACTGCCAGGGAGACAGAAAAGAACCTCCTACTGCTGGGTGGCTGTGGAATGCGGGACCCCAGGACACGCATTTGGCCCCCAGGCTCTGAGGACTGAGGAAGTTGATGAAAGCACATATCTTCCCTCCAGCTTTTAATGATTAGTTCAATTTATTTTATCTGAATTTTAATTGCATTAATGTTGCTTTAATTTAAATTGAGGGTGAAAATGGATGAGTCCACAACAAAGATATGGAGAATTATTGTGAATATCAAAAAAAATGGAGAAGTGCTATATATGCTACCTGAATGTAAGATATAAATCCAATAAATAAATATTACCTCATCAGCATAATGAAAATACAGAAGATCAAATTCATTTTGTGATATCTCCATTCTCCTTCATCATTTCAGTAAGTAAAAATGACTAGGCATTTTATATACATGCGTAATTGACACATTTCTCCCTTTACCATATTAATAACTTAATAATCACAGTTTATAAAATGCCTTCTGACAAATATGCAATATAAAAAGAAAGTTAAATTCTGCTTCCTAATGGCTTGTCTAAATAATAATAATATGGACCAACCCATTCACTATGGTGAGAAAAAAGAAAAAGAATCTTATACCGGATTCGTTGTCACCCAGGTCAACAAGGACTGCATCAGGTGTTAAAAGTTCCTGGTCAACAAGTGTACAACAGGACTCAGGAGCTATGGTTGGCCAACCAGGGCTTAGCCCTGTAGGATTACTGGATGAACAACAACCACAGACAAAAGTACACTGTGTTTGAAAACCACGCCATTATGGCCTGCTATTATAAATCAGAACCAACAAAGCAGGGCTACTTAAAGTGAATGTTTGAACTGTGGAAAGGAATTTATCCAGACTCAAATATCACTGAATGATTAGCAGATCAAAGGAGATTCATTACAGAAATAAAATATTCAGGGATGCAGAACTGGAAGAGATTCAGAAATATTGTGAAAATGGAAAACCCAAAAACAATAGTAGAATAGTAGAATAAACTCAGATAACAACAATTGGAAATATAGACAAAACAGCCAATATGAACTACAGAATGATAACTTAGAAGAAGTAATAACAACGGAACCAATACAGGTCAGCAATGAACTGACCCCACCCCCACCCAACAAGAATTAAAAGAGAAAATTATGGCATATGCAGAATTGTCAGTAGAAGGACAAAGACTGCCAGCACTGAAAGTAGTGCCCAAAAAAAGACCTGGCATCTATAATGAAGGATGTGAATAAGGCGCTCGCAGGGATTAAAATAGCAACAATTGAACAGACAGCTTGCCTACAGTACAGCAGCAGGGGTTACAGAAGAACTGGGTATCAAAATTAGAAAAGCAAAAGCAAAATCATGTTCAGTCCCAAAGTGGAAGATCAGACTGGAAGCCAAGATAAAGAAATTAAGAATGGATACAAGTAATTTAAAGAACATGAAAGAGCAAAACTTGAAGAATGTAAGGACCAAGACAAGCCTAATAAAAACATATTGGCTCAGCCCCAGAAAAACTGAAGAAGCTTTGGAAATCATAAAGCAACAAATAACAGCAATAGCTGGGAAAACTGAGTGCTATAAGGCATGAATCGTCCGATTTAAGCAAAATCAGCTATTAAAAGCAGGCCAGAGTCAATTGGTAGAAATTTATACTGGCAACGGAAATTCTGAAAATGGAAAACCAAACAAAAAGGAAACAATCCAATTTTGGAAAGATCTATGGGTAACTCAAAAAGACTATAATAAAAATGCTGGATGGATAAAAGAATTTGAAGATGAATTTAGTAAAAATCAAATAGGAGAATTAATAATAACAGCAGAAATTGTTAAAAATCAAGTGAAAAGGATTAAAAACTGGACATCTCCTGGAAATGATCAACTGCATGGCTTTTGGCTCAAATATCTGACTAGCTTACATCCAATTATAGCTAAACAGCTTAATGAAGTATTGCATAAAGCGACTGGTTAATAACTGGCAAAACTTATCTGATTCAAAAAGACTCAGTGAAAGGGACAACACCAGGAAACTATAGGCTGATAACATACTTGCCTGCAGTGTTTAAATTACTCACAGGCATAATAGTGGACAACATCCAAGATGATTTGGAAGAAAATAACATTCTTCCAGTAGAACAGAAAGGAAATAAAATGAAAAGCAGAGGTACAAAAGATCAGCTTCTGATTGATAAAATGGTTTTGGAAAATTGCAAAAGCCAGAAAACCAATTTACATATGGTCTGGATTGATTATAAAAAGGCATTTGATTCATTACCACATAGTTGTATCATCAAATATTTGGAAACAACTGGTGTCAGTAAAAATATTAGAATGTTTATAGAAAAAAATAATGAAGCAGTGGAAGGCAGAACTGGTGGATGGAAATGAAAAATATGGGCTT